AGAAAATAATAGTTGGGAGACTGGTGGACTGTGGAGGAGCTATTGGGAAATGGCCTAAGGCTGGAGAGAATCACGGGGGGGGGGGGCGGGGGGGCAGGTATTGTTTACTCTACAGAAAGTTACCCTTGGTACATAACCCCACTGCCACTGCAACCACACAAACCATCAACAGCCCCTATAGGTCCCACCCCAGCCTCCACCAGTGGCCTTGGGATCCATCAATGGTTTATAACTCGGGTATTCCCTGCTTCCTCTGTCCAGCAGAGAAGAAGAAAGGGAGTTCTTTCTGATGGCGCAAAAGAGAACCATGAGGTAGATCCAGAAATTCAATCACTGAAAGCCCTTATACAACATCATTACACATAGTGAATTATCTGAATATGAGCACATATGTTTTTTCCTTTGAAATACATACTCCTTGAAGGCAAAGCTCTTATCTGAGCATGAATACAATGAACAGTGCATATGGATATATTTCCAGAGGTAAGTACTTACATATCTACTGCATTATTGCCGACCGGCTTTACCATATGTTTTAATTCCCACTAAGCCAGCTCTTCACTCACTGCAACCCAGAAAGGCACTACCAACTATGCCCAATTCCACAACTAGCAATATCCAACTTTGCCACCTCCTCTGGTCTTGTCTTTTCAGTCTCCTCTCTGTATTCACTCTATCCTTCATGTGTTACACACACGTATTTATTACTGATGTAAGGATTATTTACTGAGTGTCTACTATGTACAAGACATTGTGCTGAGTATAGGCACAGTTAAGTTAGGAGTCCCTGGAGTTTTAGCATTCCATTCATGTCTACTCTAACCTACCAATTTCTAAAATGTCAACTAGGTCTTAGTCCACTGAAGCAATATGAATCTAAGTTCTTATTCCTCATACTCCTGACATTTGTCTAGATTCTTGAATGCATGCATAGTTCTTTTCTTACTGATCTTTTACAGTATTATTGTTTGAACCACCAAAATCCTAGCCTATTTTCTGAGAATGAACCCCAATTGTTCAATCAAATAATTTGCCTTCAATAGATAGCTCAGTGAAACTGTTTTTTTACAGAGATTATATAAAAATAACTTTAAAATGGTTATGTCCAGAGATAATTGAGGAGATAAAAAAGAAAAAGCAGATGGAAATTATAATAAAAGTAAAATAACTAAAATCCTCAAAGTAAGAGGTACAACTGTGTCATGCTTGGTGAAAAAAAGAAAAAAAAAGATTTTTCAGGGGTAAATGAGGCAGAGGCAAGCGTTCCCTTGATCAAAAGATTTACAGCATCACCTTGCAATCTGAATAAAGTATGGTTCAGGCTATAAAAATAGAATATACATACTTCTTTACTGATTATATAGATATAGCACATCTGTAGTATTTGTACACTAATCATGCAAAATAAGTTTGTTAAATAACAGATGCCCATTTCTCAAATTTTAGCCCCATTTCATCTTTAAAACCTTGCCAAATACCTATAAAAATAAGAATAACCAGGAGGGAAGCATATTTTAAGAATAGGTTAAATGATTTATGAATGGATCAGTCCTCTCCTTTTTCTTATCCACCCAGACAAAAGCTAATATATGATTGTCAGATCTGGAATCCCTAAATGTCATAAACACAAAAGCTAGATAATCTATATATCAGGTTGGGATGTGGGGCACAGAAGGCAAGGGAGGGAGAGGCAGAGAGATTACATTTAAAGAAAACATTTCATATTACATAGTTTCTAAGTGTTGGTTAAAGGAATCGTTTAATCTTACTGAAATATATTTTTTCCTAGTTTCTGTACTGCCTTAATTCTTTCTGTCCAAATTACTACTTAATTGTTATTCTTCCTTGTCAGTAAATATTCTATTTTTCCATCTTTTCTATAGGTATTTTATTCTTATATTTCTTCAGGTTTTTTCATTCTTGCCTCTTCTCCCCTTTTCATTTGTTTATGTAATCTATTCCTCTCTCAACCACTTCATTTTTTATAAATTGTATCTTAAATCTGGTTTGTACGGTCAGGTTTATAGATAACAGTGGTAGTAATACAGGATGCTAAAAACAAGTATAAGAACAATAGATACATCATCCTATTTTTAAATTTTAAAATATCAGCTTTTGTTTTTCTCAAGGAGGTTGCTACCTTACTTTCTTTTTATTGTTATAGCATGTTTACTCAGTTAAAGGTATACGCGTGAATCAACGTTTCCAACAAGAACCCAAACTCCAAGCGGGAAGCCCAGAGAATCCAGGGTCTATAGAAACTTGTCCGGCCTCCACTTTTCAATAAGAATAGATTTGGGTCTGGATGAAGTCACCCATGTGCCTCTGAAGAAACAAATGTCAGAGCGACCTATTAAAATCAACCCAGAGCTAGGTAGCAACAATGAGCTGGGGATTAGCACTGACAGCTCCCTTAATGTGATTCTTTGGGACAGGGATTAATTTAATGTGTTGCTGTCAAATGAAACAAAAAAAACGAGATGGATTTACTAATGACTCTATTCTATACCACACACACTTTTCCACCCCTGATCTATGTCAGAAGGAATCTGACAGCAAAAGAAAATAATTTTTTAAATGGAAGGAAGAAGGCATTGCCTTGTCGACAAACTTTCAGGAAGAGAGTTTTCACTGGGCTCACAAGAGGATGAGCATAGGATGCAGGGTCACGTGGCGGGAGGTCTCCCCATAGTGGAGCAGTCTGGCCACCACTACAGGGTCCCCGTCTTGGGCACAAACTTCCACGATGGACTTCACTTCTCCAGGCCTCCTCTGGCTCCGGGTTGAAAGTAAAAGTTAGGAGGCTTCTACATTTCCCAGCTCTAAATTGCTAATCGCTCAAACTGGAGGCCCCCAAACCTGCTGGGAGTTGCAAAGAAAACTCGGCAGTGAGGCTGTGACAGAGAGGGGGCGAGTCAAAGAGCTAAGGTTGATCTTTAGCAACAGTCAAACGCTAAAGCCTCCTTAAAATAATTTGGATTCTTCTTTGTTCTCCCTAACAAAGAAACTTTAATTTGCAGCTCTCTGCGAAGAAAGACAATGCAGACAAGCCATTTTCAGGTGAAAGGTGTCTCGTCAATTAATGATCATTAAGCAATCACTAAGGATTGGCAGGAGCTATTCATCGAATAGAATGCTCATAACATGAAACTGCATCGATTTGCGATATCGACTGTGTGGGGCATTGTTCCTGGTGATTGCTTTGTTTTTACCTCCTGGGAGGTGCACACCTCCCTAGTCTTAAGTATTTGTGTACATTCATGTAAGTTCCCCTGAGGTTAGTAAACACCCCCGGTCTCCTCTGGTCGGAGTCTGGTCTCCTTGACAGGGATCGCTGTCCCCACCCGGCGCCTGAGCCCTGAGCCTGTGGCTAAATCGGCACCCGTCAGGTGCAGCCCTCAGGGGGCATTGTTGGGTCAGATCGGCCCGAGAAGGGGGCACCCCGCGATGCCGCCGTGGCTGTGAAAACTGGCTGCGACCCAGGAAGAACCTGAAAATGACCGGGAACGGAGAGATGTGGCGTCTCTCGCCTTTCAGCTCGCGCCTCACTCCTCGGCCCAGACAAGGGAGGGGACCTCTGAAGACGCCCCCGGGCCGCGCCCCGAAAAGTGCTCTTGCTTGGGAAGGCAATGACGGCTCCCCGCCCGGCCGGCTCCACTGCGATCTCCTGGGGCATGAGCTCCAGTCCCGAGCGGGTCCTCGCTTCGCCCGCCCCGCGCGTCCCTTCCCCGGGCGGATCGCGGGTGTGGAGCCGAGAATCCTGGCTCTGGCACTGGGTGACCTTGAGCAGTTACCCCGCCTCTTAAAATCCATGTTTATCCACCGGGTAAGCGAGACCGAAGATGCCGGCTCCGTCTTCGTTGGATTCCGTTTCCTTTTCTCTGTTCTACCTTCTCTCTTCTCTGGCTTATGCTGTCACTTTCGATCCTGTGTTTTCCCTTGATTTTGTCTCTCCAATTTCTCGGAATCCTTTTTCTTTTCTTCTTTCACTTCTCTTCTCCCCCCCCCCCCCTTTCCCCCCACAATGTTCATTATTGTAGTCAGCAAATTTAACAAAGATTTGTTTCCACTTCCTGGACTCAGCTCTCCAAAGCAAATCTTAATCTCCGTCCGCCCCCTTCCTTGGGCCACCCCAAATAATAGGGCAGTCAAGAAAGAACTCTACAAGACACATGTCCCGTTGCCTTCCGGCCCACCCCCCAGTTCCAACCATTAAATTTCTATAATGCGGGACCCCTAACACCATCGCTGCCCTGAGGTCAGAGGCCGCTGTGACCCAGAAATCTATGCAAGGGCTCAAGCGACCAGCGTGCCGAACCGGGAAGCTGAAACCAGAACCCAGTCTTGCAATTATTCGTCTTGTTTCATACAGAGAAAAACAAGCTTGTATATGATGTTCCATACTCATGTATGAACATATTTTTAATCTTTGAATAAGCTGAAATATGCAGTATAAGAAAAAACAGCACAAGATCTACTCAAGGTTTTTTTGAAGCATGTCTGTAAGTTTTACCTATATAACTGAGGTTTATTTCAAATCAAGTTCTTAATTATTGAGGTTGGTTAGAAGAGAGAGAAAATTTAATTGCCTAAAACTTGAATTGCCTAAAAACGAAGAGCTGCATTTATACTCACTTATGGAAACATTTTAAAAGATGTCTGATAATGTCATTTCTTTACAATAACAAAAAACTACATATACATTATCATAGTACATATAGTATAAATAAAATACTGTATAGGCAAAGTTAGTATAAGAATTTCTTTTAAAAAAGCAAAAAGCTAAGGAGAGAAAAACTCTTAAAGAAGGCTAAATAGAGAATTTTTAGTTGCTTGCCAGTTACCTCAAACCTAAAAGTATCAAGTTTCCTTTGAAATTTTTCTCAGTTTTATTAGAATCTAATTGAAGATCACCTGTAAATGTTGGAGGAAGGAAGACAAGTAGGAAAATATAAATTCAACACTTAGTTTTTGAAAGAGTAAAAGAACCACAGTACCACCTTGTGGAGAAGAGAGTTTTTTTTCATCTTCTATATTCTAGTTGTTTTATTTCCCTCTATTTCTGGCACATAGACCTACACAAATTTTAAATAAAAATTAATAAAGCGATTTAAGGCATAGGACAAAAACTTGGGTCTATATGAATAAATTATGATAATATCATCCCTACTATTTTAAACACACTAACATGTTTATATCAAAATAAATTATAAGTTTTATCAACAAGTTAAACATAATATATGGTATTAAGAAATTGTGCTCCTACCTGGGCTGGGTGGTTCAGTTGGTTGGGGCATCGTCCCCTATACTGATGTTTCATACTCCCTTCCTCTCTCTAAAATCAATGAAAACATATCCTTGGATGAGGTTAAAAAAAAAATTGGGCTCCTAAATTACAAATAATGCCAGAAATTAAATGTTAGGCATGAAACAGTAAAAATAAAATTATGTGTACCTTTTAAAAGAAGAATAATTATTTTTAAAATTAGTTTAAATTTCACTATTAAATACTATTTATGCTTTTTAAATATGTATATTTTGTTCGGTTGTTAGGACCTGGAAAAGGCATATTCTTAGATAAAATACAAAATAATGCTCTATTTTTAAAGTTGTTTGTCTCATTACATTTAAGATTGGCAGAGCAACAAGACATTTATAGAACCTATATTTGTTAGTTTAACAAAACTGTCCTAGTCACTATGAGGATATAAAAAGGGCATAAATCATAAAGCTTGGATTTTAAGAAATGCAAAATAAAAAGTGTTTCTCTACTCTGGTACATCTGGAAATATCTTACATGACACAAATGTTTCCTGTCCTAAATATGTTTTCTGTAAGGCATGAGAGAATTCCACGGTTACCTGTAGGCATTCTTTATTCTCTGTGCTTTAGAATCAGAGAGCTTGTATATCCCTCTGACCTTCAGGAAGGACTAAATCAAAAGCATCCTGGGAAGAGACCAGTGTATTTCAAATTGTGTTCAGCAGAGCCCTGGGGGTTGTCAAAAGATTATAAGAGGAGAAGAACATGGAGAGAGGCCCCTCACTCCCAGCTTCTACCAACTGGCTCTGCTTTTATCATTTAATATAAATCCAGTAAAGAATTGGTATAAGAAACGTCCTGATGCTTCCTGCACATTAACAAATGCACTTTAAGAGCAGTCCGCCAGGCTTCCACATGCCGCATTCTTTTTTTTCTTTAAAAAATAGTTCATTACAAAATGTATACAGGTTGGTTGTTTTAAACACACACACACACACTCAATTAAAAACAGAAGTATATTCAGTTAAAAATCTCTGTATCACAATTCCAACCATTCATTTCCCAATGTTAAAATAGCAGTTAACATTTTGGTTGATACCCTCCCAGAAATGTTATCTCTGTGGGCAAAGATACAGGTGTGTGTGAGCTCGCTCTCTCTCTCTCTCTCTCTCTCTCTCTCTCTCTCTCTCTCACACACACACACACACACACACACACACAGATTATTTGTTTTAAGAAAACAGGATTATATCACCTTTGTTTTCTTCCTCAATCATATAATAGAAATATCTTTCTGTGTCTTTACATACAGAACCTCCTAATTCTTTGTAATGACTCTATAATATTATCCAAAGTATAATTTATTTAATCTCATATCTATTGTTGAATAGTTGGATTTCTGCTTTTATATCGTGTTCTTCCCCCTACCAAAAATACATTTCCTACACTCTACTGCAGCGGTTCTCAACCTGTGGGTCGCGACCCCTTTGGGGGTCGAACGACCCTTTCACAGGGTCGCCTAAGACCATCGGAAAACACATATATAATTACATATTGGGTTTTTTTATTATGCTTTGATTATGTTCAATTTGTAACAATGAAATTGGGGATCACCACAACATGAGGAACTGTATTAAAGTGTCACGGCATTAGGAAGGTTCAGAACCACTGCTCTACTGGCTAATGTCTACACACACACAAGTTTCTGTTTTTTATGTTACTTCAAAGTAACCACACTAGAAACCTATGAGAAGCAACAATTTCAAAAATGTAAAACATAATTTCTCAATACAATATACTTCTCTACCCAAACATTTTAAACACAATAAAACAGGATTGGTGTTAATTTCTTTTCAAGAAAACAAAAAAACATACATCCGTTTGAGATTGCTGCAATGCCTCAAGAATGGGATTTATGCTTTGTGGAGCAATTTGGCTGTGTCTATCAATACTTAAAATGTGCATATTTTTCAACCTAATACCACAGTAGCTTTTCTATAGGACTATTCATACAAATTCATTAATTCATTCAACATATTTTTTTTTTTTTTTTTACAGAGAGGAAGGAAGAGGGATAGAAACATTGATGAGAGAGAAACATCGACCAGCTGCCTCCTGCACACTCCCTACTGGGGATGTGCCTGCAACCAAGGTACATGCCCTTGACCGGAATCGAACCCGGGACCCTTGAGTCCGCAGGCCAACGCTCTATCCACCAAGCCAAACCAGCTAGGGCGTCATTCAACATATTTATTGAGCCAATCTAAATGCTAGTAATTTTGCTAGATTCTCATGGAAGAGTGGTTAAAAAATAGAAAAAAAAACCTCAGGGATGTATTTATCAGTAGGATAAATCTACAATGAATAAATAATTACATAGTATATGTGTCATTAATTGCAATAAATAGCAATAGAAAAATTATAATAAACTATTTTAACATTGGGGTTTTTTTTTCTCAAAGAGCTACAAACTGTTATACAATCTCTCATTATACTTTACCTCTTAAACCCATCTTTGATAGTATATTTCTAAAGCATTCCGCGTATGTCCTTTCATTTTTTAAAAATACACCGCAATATACAGACAAGCCACTTAAGTCTGATGAACCTTTGATTGACCTTGGTAAATTACTGCTTTCAGCTCACTTAATAATTGTAATCTTTGTCCCAAGTTCATTGTTAAGATACTTAGGCCTTTATGTCTTACCATCCCCTTCATTTTTCTATTATGAATTCATTTTTACAATAAGGATAAAATAGGATTTTCAAATATTTAATAAGTACTGTGCCTAAATAAAACCAAGAAAGGTAAAGCTAAATTTTTGTCTGCCAGTCAGTGCCAAACCTGCACTATTTCAAAATCATTGATGATAAGATGGTTTAGAAGAGTCCAAATTCAGTTTGGATGTACCATTGTTTAATGGATTCAAGTCTGCAGTTTAATACATGAAAAAGAATGTATGAAAGCTAACATCCAACATAAAATATAAAGTATTTGTATTGGAGGAATAAGACCTAGAAAAAAGATGTGGCCCTTATCAACAGTTTAGTTTTCAAAGATGTCATTTGGAATAGTAGCAACAGATACCAAGATGAACCCACAGAAAATGTCTGAATATATCTAGAGGACAAGTGAGATTTGGCCACTACAGGTCTATTTCTATAACAGACCAAGGATGCTCCTGGGAAGTAACTCATCTTTAGGTTAGCAGCCACTTTACGAGTACCAGTGAGGTACTAAGTGTAACAAGCTAATGTCAACACTAAGGGATACTTTTGGCCACATTAGCAAGCTTATGTGAGATGTGTAGAGACTTCCTGAAAGCACTGGTAAGAATTTAAGAGGCCAGCATGATCTCAGAGAGGAGCCTGGGGGTTTGAGGGGAATAAAAAGGGTGGAAATGGAGGGGAGAGCATAACCAGAGAAATATTATTTTGTTTATCTTAGTGTGACCCTGTGACCCTTGGCCCTGGTGCACCCTAAGGAATGTGAGTTAAATAACATAACACAATGCCCTAACTGGGAAAAGTCATTAGGAAGTTGACACTGTGCCAAGTTCTTTCTTTCAAGTTTGGGTTGATTTTAAATTTTGGAAGCAGAGTTCTTCTCTATTTGAATCATGAGAAGAACAGATCACTAGAGAAAGATTATTTGAGGGCTCATTAATGACACTAACTGGTGTAAATCAATGTCTTGAAACTATGATGGGGGTGGGGGGGAAGAAACCTTGGCCTCTGGAGTTTGAGATAGGAATTTACAGGGAAAGGGGCATGAGGAAACTTACTAGAATGGTAGTAATGTTTTATATCTTGATTATATAGGTGCATTTATTTGGCAAAACTCAGCAAAAGTACACTAAAGACCTGTGCATTTATTATGTGTAAATCTTACCTCAAAAGAAAAAATTTAAAAAATATTGAACTCTTGTTAATGATATGAATGCTGAAGTATTTAAGGGAAAATGTACCAATGTCTGCAATTTACTTTCATCAGTGAATACATCAAAAACTAAATGCAGCCGGTTTGGCTCACTTGATAGAGCATCGGCCTGGGGACTAATGAGTCCCAGGTTCGATTCTGGTCAAGGGCATGTACCTTGGTTGCAGGCATACCCCTAGTAGGAGGTGTCCAGAGGCAGCTCATTGATGCTTCTCTCTCATCGATGTTTCTCTCTGTCCCTCTCCCTTCCTCTCTGTAAAAAATCAACAAAATATATTTTAAAAAGAAAACTAAATGCATTGCCCTAGCCCAGTGGTCGGCAAACCGCGGCTCGCGAGCCACATGCGGCTCTTTGGCCCCTTGAGTGTGGCTCTTCCACAAAATACCACGTCACGTGCAGGCATGCACAAACAGTGTGATTGAAACTTCGTGGCCCATGCACAGAAGTCAGTTTTCGGCCTGGGTGAGTCTATTTTGAAGAAGTTTTATTCAACGTACCTATAGTTTAACTAAGACTTAAGACTTTAAGTAAAGTTTATTAAGTTAATTTTAGGGACCGTTGTGGAGTGAAAGAAGATGTAGTGTTGAGGATTGAAAAAGGTATGTTGAGATGGTTTGGACATATAGAGAGGATGAACGAAAGGAGATAGATAAAACAAGTATACAAGATGAGTATGGATGGGAGAGTTGGAAGGGGTCGACCTCAGCGAACGTACCTCAATCAGATTGAGGACGTTTTTAGCAAAGGCCAGCTTAGGAGTACCCTAATTAAGTTAATAACAATGTACCTACCTATATAGTTTAAGTTTAAAAAATTTGGCTCTCAAAAGAAATTTCAATTGTTGTACTGTTGATATTTGGCTCTGTTGACTAATGAGTTTGCCGACCATTGCCCTAGCTGGTCTGGCTCAGTGGATAGAGTGTGGGCCTGCGGATTGAAAGTTGTGGGCTCGGTCCCCAGGAGCGGGGGTGCAGGAGGCAGCCGATCAATGATTCTCACTCATCATTGATGTTTCTGTCTGTCTCTTCCTTTTCCTTCCTCTCTGGGATAAATAAAAATATACTTTTAAAAATGAAATATTGAGGAGAAAAATTAATTCCTTGGATACAAGATTTTAAGTTTAAAAGAGGCCACAGTAGGCTGAGTTAGTGTTTACATCCCATCTAAAACCAACAAAGAACCAGAATGAGATGGGACTGGGGAAGATCAGTCTGTCAGCTATCTCACTGCTCCTGCCTGACTTCCCCAGCACCCCAGGTTATACTGATTCTCCCACCTGGAGGGTCAATCTTTGCCTGTTTATCCAGCCATTCCATTTGCAGTTAATATGGAAACATAAATAGCTGTCCACTTTATAACCATCCCCGAATGACACACACATCGCCCTCCAAACAAAGAAGCTTAGAAGCTGACACACTTGTCCATATCTCCAGTTTTATCACTGGCTTCCATGTGGCTTCCTGAGCCTCTTCTGCCCACAGTCAGGCTTCAGATTCAACACCCCTGTGATGACCAATGATTTCTGGGAATACTCTGGCCCTTTTAATTCCAGCTCTGGGAAACTAATTGTAAGGGTGGAGTTTCTGTTTTGGTTCTTGTTATCTCATCAGGTTTCTGTAGTCACTCTCCCAGTTTGGTGTCTGAGGCCCAGACTATCACATAAATAGATGATGACTGCTGTACCAGAATGACCCCAGGACAGGCGGCTAA